ATTTGGTACATTCAAGCATGTGCAGCACCGTCTTTCTGCAGTGTCAAGGAATTAACCTATCTAAATACAATATATGTCTTTATTCTATTATTTCCTTAGGCTATAAAGGTTTCTAAATAGGTGTTCTCCTAGTCATTTACCTCTAAAAAGTTTCAGGATATTGATGATCATCTACCGCAATGATAAGGGATGTGCTTCCTCTCATTTCCCTGAGAAATGTAGTTACTGGTGTGATTCAATTTACTCGTGGTTCATGTAATCATGTATGTAGTTGAAACTGAAGTTCCTTAGCTGAGATTTGTTGAAAGTAACTTATTTAGAAGTTCCTATAGGCTTTATCAAAGTTATGATGCCTAAGAACCAAGACCATAAAAGGAAAAAAAAAATTAATAATTAGAGATGTTTGTGAACGTGGTGCCACTTTTATATTTGAAGAATGGCTTGGGCTGGAATGGAGTAAGACATTATTTGAGACATAAGGAAATTGCAAAATATTTTTACAGGCAAAGTGCTTATGTATTGATATGGATGATGTAATGCCAAAGATTAATGATACAACCATGTTATAATTCTCATGGTATTTATGCAAGACTACGAGAGTACCCTGTCCCTGTTGAAATGCCATTTACTGTATTGGCCTTTTATGTCTTCTTCAGTTACTATAATTACATTCAATACACTTGAGGATTGTTATAAAAAGACATCATATGTTGCATCATTTTCCTATTTTCTAATCTTGGTTTGTATGATGCCATTGCAGTTCGAGTCATATCTTTAGAAGTTTAAACTATGTTTTGGATGGAGTTTTGAAAGGTTTTACCGATGGTCAATTGTTTTAACCTAGAAAACGAGTTTTAATTTGCAGAGTAAAATATTATTCTATTCCTGTACCTATAGTTGACCTTCATAACATAATAAACTGTTCCTTTAAAATTCATGTTGCTTGTTCTCACCTCTCTTTATGGAGCCTGTCTTCTCTCCACAGTGTCACTCCTTTTCATTGTTGCTGACTTTGTGATGTTGTAGGATCTTTACCTCTCCCATGGTCCATTAGGATGAAAATTGCTCTTGGTGCAGCTAAGGGTCTTGCCTTTCTCCATGAAGAAGCTGAAAAGCCTGTGATATATCGTGATTTCAAGACCTCAAATATCTTATTAGATGCGGTATGATATCAAACTCAACAGTTTTGCTGTATTTACATGGAAGCTTCTATGTTGCTCTAATTACTACCAACTTACTGCATCAGGAATACAATGCAAAGCTGTCGGATTTTGGACTTGCTAAAGATGGTCCTGAGGAAGGCAAAACTCATGTATCTACCCGCGTGATGGGGACATATGGTTATGCAGCTCCTGAGTATGTGATGACAGGTAAATCTTTGAATGCTGGGTGTTATGTTGTCATCCATGAAGCTTCTTTTGTCATTATGCTGTTTTTGTATCGTCTAATTTTGGAATTTTTACTGTTGCACTGGTTCAAGTTGTGTTTGCATCTCTTTCGAACTTTCTTGCTCTCATCTGCTGTACCTGCTAAGCATTATCTAAGGAGGGGCACATTAGGAAGTAGCATAATAACTCAGTTAATTGTGGCTGTAAGGAAAAGATAGCTAGTTAGTTAGCTCAAGAAGAGGATTACGGAGAGAAATAGGATGTTGAATATCAATGAGAGTTTTCGTTGGCTTTTAAAATTGCTAGTTGGGAGAACCAAGCCTCTTGAAAGCTCGAATGTCCTTATTTTTTCCCTGTAATTTTAGATCATCAATCCATCTTCTTTCCAATTCTTTTAGGGTTTCCGTTTTGCCTAAACCCAGACATTTTTTTATATGGTGCTTCTGGTTTCATATGAATTTGCCATGGTACTTCTGCTGCTGTGAGTGGAACATCATCATTTTTCATGATTGATAAAAGCTAATAGTCTCATGTAGTAGGATATTCACTTTTCATCAGTTTGTGCTTTTATTAGAATGTAATATATTGGTTTGTATTATTATACTCTTCTTTTTCGGCCTCCCTTTTGTTACTTTTTCCTAAGACGGGGAGAAGGGGGGGGGGGGGATTGTCTATTCCCCTGGTGGTTTTCCTCCCCATCCTAGTCTTCTAAGAGGGACAACTGTATCCTCTTAGCTGCACTTTTTCTTCAAGAGGTATTTTCTTATCTAGGATGCTGTATGCTGTTTAACATGAATGTGCGGATGATTTTACAGCAATTGGAACTTAATTAGTCAACAGCAGATTAATCTTGAACTAGTTGATGGCATTGGATTCAAGATCGAGCATGTTCTGCTGTGTCCTAATCTAATTTTTATTATTCCCGTCTCAGGCCATCTGACTTCAAGAAGCGATGTTTACAGCTTTGGAGTAGTGCTGCTGGAAATGATTACTGGCAGGAGATCTATGGACAAAAACCGACCCAATGGGGAGCATAACCTTGTTGAATGGGCAAGGCCACATTTTGGAGACCGAAGAAGATTTTATCGTCTGATAGACCCTCGGCTTGAAGGTCACTTCTCCATCAAAGGTGCTCAAAAGGCTGTGCAGTTGGCTGCTCATTGCCTTAGCCGGGATCCAAAAGTCCGCCCTTTAATGAGCGAAGTTGTAGATTCCCTGAAGCCTTTACCTAACCTGAAAGATATGGCTAGTTCGTCCTACTATTTCCAAACCATGCAAGCAGACCGAGTTAGGGCCAGCCCGAATGCTCGAAATGGTCAACCTATTGGTCCTCACCAAAGGAATGGGCAGCAACCAGGTTTAAGGAGCCTCTCAATCCCACATGGCTCACATGCTTCACCATATCATCATCATCAGTACCATCCATCACCTAAACCAAGTGGGAAATCCTAACCTCGGGCCAGTCGGTGCACTTCTTGTTCTGCAAGTGGTTCATCATTCTTTTCTCCCCAGCTTCTGATCGTTTTCATGAAGTCATCAACTAATTAAGTATGTGATCCTGATATCAAGGTTCTTTGCTCCTTGATCAAAGATGAAACAGGATTGGGAGGGGGAAAAAAAAAAAAACAGAACAGAAAAAGAGGCAACAGAAGACAATGTATGAATTGTGCAAACTATTATCTTTCAGTCAGGCTCTCTGTAAAGGAGTTAAATGTAAGAAGAGGTGAAGCTTTGTGGGCCAGAAATTTCATGTCATACCTCGTAATTTTACGTTAGTCAAGCTTGAAAATATGAAAAATGAAGTTTCACCAATTGTTGCCTCGATTATCCCCATTTTGTTATATGCTTTTCCATCTTCAAAGATCCCTGAAATTGCTGTATAGATCATGCTTGGATGTAGAAACAATGAATCAATGAATTAGGTCAAACTTGTGTTGTCGGCTCAGATTCCTATTCTTGTGGGTTGATCTGGGGTTTTAAACCAGTTTGCTTACTATTGTCATTGCTGAAATATAGCTGTGCTTTGTTTCTAATGTTGATGAAACGTTTAATTTAGGGTCTGCTTGGGACTATTGTGGTTTTGATGGTTTCCTAATATGTTAAGCTACTGCGGTGAAATATACATCTTTTCTTCCGTTTTCTTGAAACTACAACAGAAAAGCAGAAACCATTTTTTGAGGTTCTGTAATTTTAATTTAAATGAAAGGCTTTGGCTTTTTATGACACGCAACTTCTTATAAGTCGCATTCTTTTTCTTGTCTCTTCGTTCTCCCTCCTTGATAACACCATTTTTTCATTTCTACCGATGCTGATTTGAATTGCTTTTCACTGTCTTCCTTTTCTTAATAACCGCATTAAAACACAAAACATAACATGTGGGATGAAAGGAGCAGCTATTAATCACTATTTATTAATTTAATATCAATAAAATCAGTAATTCGTATTTGAATTTGATTGATAATACTTTGCATATTGACAATACTAATGGTTTACCTCAATTGGTTATAGTTTAAAATGTAGATGGTTAATATTTTCTCCATTCTTTTTTAGTTGACACGTTTTAATACTAAAAAGTAAAAATTATAAAAAGTTGATATTGTTAAAATATAAATCGAGACAATTCTAATAAGTCTCCACATGAGTACATGACTATACTTTATCATAATTATTAATTACAAAAGGTACTCAAGGTAGAATTTATAAATAGTGTAGAAAGTCAAAACGTATCAACTAAAAAGAGGAAATATTTACCTTATTTTATATATTTAGTAATCTACAACTAGTTATATATTCATAATAATTGGATTATTAAAAATAGTTGAACGTCTCTTTGCAAAGCTACAATCATCAAATGATTTTACCAAATGCGTTATAGACAACCTAGTATGCTAACAGCTGGTCAAACTAAGGATGTCAATGGGGCAGGTCAAATAGGAGACCCGCCCCATCCCCGTCCCAACGGGGTGGAGATGGGTCTTGGTTTGGCGGGTGATGGGGCGGGGATGGGGATAAAAACCATACCCGCCATGGGTGATGGGGCGGGGGTGGATTTTAGGTTGTACCCGCCCCATCCTCGCCCCGCCCCACCCGCCCCATCCCCACATCCATATATTTTTAAAAACAAAATTATACTTTTATACTATTTTATAAAAAAAATTATGTAAAATAAAATAGTAAATATAATACTTTGTAATACACTTATATTATAAATAAAAAAATGTGTAATATTAACAATAATTTTTTTCTTTTTGCAATCTTTATTAATTTTTGAAGGATTGTGTATTTGGAAGGCGAGGATCAGGCGGGTCTTAGGCGGAGGTGGATATCCAAGTGGGGGTTAGGGCGGGGACGGTTTTGGAATTGTACCCGCTAGGGCGGGAAAGGGGATGAATTTTAAACCCGCCGCGGGGATGGGAATGAGGATGAAAATTTTAGATGGGGATGGGAAGGCCAACATCCGCCCCGCCCCGCCCTATTGACATCCCTAGGTCAAACCAACCAAATAAAACAATCGATAACCAATTGCCAAACAAGTCTTATATCACTTAAATTTTAAGACATAATTTGGGAGCTCCTGATATATTTTTATCTTGTAATAACTGCCATTCTGAGTTTGGAACCTTCAACGCCCAATTTTAATTCATCCAACTGTAATATTGATAGTGTTGAAAGTTTTACTAATGTTCAGAAGAGCTCCTATTTGGTTTTAGTAATTGGATTAGAAATGTCTTATATCATGTCATTATTCAAAATATCACCCCCTATGTACATACAAAGTACGAAGTATATTATACTTTATCAAAGTCACATTTTTCTAAGCAGCGTTTCGAGTCAGTTGCTCCATGGATGTGCTCTCAAATATCTTATCAGCATTGCCAACTTCAAACCCATCACGTCGATGGAACTCCTTGACCTACAATAATTCATTCAAAAGTTAAGCAAAGCTAATCAAATATAACTGTAATACATCCTGCATCACTATGAACATACACTATGTTAGTGGATAAACTATTAAACTCTATATGTTTTGAAACTTAAGAGGGGCAATCCATACCTCTTCATCAGGTACATTTTTGTACTCAGGAAGCACAAGCCTTTCAGCAAACTCTATGTATGAACATGGAACTGATTCTTTCGTACCATCGGAGAATTCGAAAGGCACTGAATCAGCTACTGTTGAACTTTGCAGCAGGAAACCATCAGGACTAACTGGTGCAGGAACAATGATATTTCTCAGATTAGCATTGTCGAAAAAGTGGTGATCAAATATACAAAATTCATAGCAGAATCTTTCCAGTAAGCCTTGACTAAAACACGAAAAATGGACACTGCTAACACTCGGAGTGACACCTTCCCCTCCTTTCACTTAAGTGACAAAGTTCATCACCTTTTAACTGTTGCTACATCAATCCTTTAATAAAACATAAATTACATTTGAGTTGGGGTCATATTTAGGGAACATTATCTAAATAACTGTATATCCTTCGCTACATAAGAGTTTAAATCTTAACTGTAGATTGTCTTCCTTTGAATGTGCCCACTATTCATGAACATAGGTGTATAATAATATCACCTCCTGTGTTGTGAGTAGTAACTGAAATAAACTTTTTGCAGGACAAAGATGCAAAATGCAACAAATGGAGAATTTCCTGTCTGATAGTGATATCCTTTTATCATATTGCCTCTTTGAGTACAGCACATGCCGCGATTTGAGGCTATATTATGCAATCTAGTATGCACAAAGGAACATAAATGACACTTTAAAGTTTCTCCAGTGCTCTACTAAGTTAGAGTTCGACCAAGTGACCAACAATCTTAACATAATTTATGATAAACCAAATAGATTGCTGATACAATGCAATCTCAAGTTCCAAACCAAAGAATGCATGTTTCTCTCATTCTTTTTTAAACCGTGGGGAGTTGTATAAGCAGGGGGCCGATTAGAGATGAATTATTAAAAATTCGTATAATATGTGAATGCACCGGAGTTTTGAGTAAATTAAGAAAAAAACTAACCTTTTAAAGTCCCTCCTTCAGAATTCAGCTTGAATCCATTCTCTTCAATGAACTGATTCAGGCGATTGATGTTATTCAAATTAGACTTCAGTTGGTGAGTAGAAATAGTGACATGATTCAAGGCATATCCATTAACTAGTGTCCATGCAGCATATTCGCTTTCTCTGCAATTTTAAAATTACAGCACATGAATTTCAGAGATAATACAAGTCACAGAATGTGCTTCAAGACACAAACTAAAAGGGTTATACTCAGGAGTGATACGCAGGGATGATAGGATAAACTCCACTTGTAGATCCTTTCAGTTCCAATCAAGATGATATACTCAGAAAGTCAGAAGACATCTTACCTTGCTAATTGCTGAAATTCGGAATGCAAGGGTTTCTCCCAGGTCAATGACCCGTGTGCACTGGCAAGAGCTGCATAGTTACTTCCATTTCCTGAAATTCCAGTGTACTTTCTGATTATTTCCTGTAATTGCAAATAGCAAATATTAAGAATAAAATCTCAATGAAGATATCTTCTGCTAAGGGACACATAATTGCTGGACAACGTATTCTTGTGATACTTATACTCCCATACCGAAACAAATTCTTTCATACACCATGCAGACTAAAACATATTGCAGCATATCAAGCAATGTTCCTCATCTTAAACATGAGCCTCACATATACAATCATGTCCAAAACACGGTTAAAGATAAATCAGTGTATTGACCAAACTGGAGAGTGTACCTGAGCTTCAGAACTCATCTGATCTACAAGAAGTTCGGAAATAAACACCCTAGGCAAAGGTCCATTGACACCACTGCCTTCTTCATAGGAAACAGTGGGAGGGGAGAACCAATAAGCTTTCAATTTCTTTCCAGGAAATCTCAGCTCATCCTTCTGGATGTACCCAAAATCAAGAAAGACCTTAGCCATTGAATCGATACCATGACCATCCACCTGCAATATTGGTATCAAAATGAGGTCCTTGTACAAATTTAGATTCACATTTTGCTAGTTGAAGCCATCAACCCAATATACAATATTACATGTTACTAAATAGTTCTATAACATGTAAATTATGAAGAGAAACAAGCTTTTCCCTATTGCTACAATTGAAGTGGTGAAAAATGGCGTACCCCAAAAGTACGAAAGGCGAAATGATCATAACAAATCCTATCATTTCCTGCTGAATGAACAAGTTCCAAGACCTGTTTCGCCGTTGGATTCCTGTTCAAATAGACAGTCTCCATTCTTTGCAGCACATTTCTGAAAAATGATTCTGATCCCTTTACATATGAAAACACCCAAATTACCAAAGTTATATGAAGCAACAAATACTTTTATGAAGCAACAAATACTTTTATGAAGCAACAAATAATATCATGACTACTAAGATGGTTTTATGTGTTATTCACTTATTCAGTGACTAATAATCAAAGGGGGAGCCCCAATTGATCTTGAGGATAAACATGGGGCATTTATCTAATGGCATTACAGTACATATATTGCGTTGGGAATCGTGTCAGAGTATTAAAAAATAATTGTTTTTTTTTATTTTTTTTATGAGCTTTAAAATTAAATGGATGACATTAACTCCTTCATCCATCTTCTTCCTCCCAAATTCACACTAGTCTGCCATTGAAGGACCCGGAACTTTCCTTCACCTCCCACCTTCTTCTTCTTCTTCATCCTCGATCACCCACCCTCCACCGACATACTGACCACCATTTCTGGCGGATTCGCCGCCGAACTAAACGAAAACCCTAAGGAAAAAGGGAGAAACTAAGGGCAAGGTCAACCCCAAAGAGTAGGGGTGACATTTTCCTCCATTGAAGCTTCCCCTGAGCTTGAATTTCTGTAATTGAAGTTTCTGAAATTCTTAGTGAAGCTGTCGAAGAGAATTTCCGCCATCAACGGCTTTCCTCAAGCTTAACGGTGTTAATTATTGATATTACAAACTTATCCATACTTAAATGTGCGAATGGACACTCAGTAATCAATATCCTGTTTGTAAATTTCATTAATCATAGAAAAAAAAAAAAAAAATTTAATTTTGTTTATTTTTTTTGTCAACTAATAAAAGTAATCAACGCTGACAAATACTAACAGTAGTAGCTAAAACCCCACTAATAACAAGAGAAATTACTGGTTGATGTCCTTGATTTACAAAACTCACAATAATCACAAATCAAGTGGCATTTTTATATTTAAATCAAAAAATTATATCCAGTCCAAATGATTGAATATCCGATCACCATGATTATACATAAGAAGTATTCTTTTATTTTAATAGCATATATTTGTACAAGTATTACAGATTTTTAAAGAACATACCATCATCTTGATTTTTTTGCATGTGAAACAACGAGATCAGATTAATTTGATGGACCTCCTATTACAACCTTAAAATCAATCTTTACAAATAATACAATAAAATAAAACCTAATAGTAGAATATTTTCCATTCAACACCTAAACAAGATAAATTTTATATAAAATAAACAAGTATCATCACCTTCATGAAAACTAATCTCAATCTGTAAAAATTAAAAAAATTATGTCCAACAATTCCTAGAATATTACCATATAAATACAAGAAAACCCCACATCAAAATGACAGATTTCCCATTCTTTCAAAAAAATAAAAAAATGACAGATTACCCAAATCATTAAAATCAGTTTAATAGTAAGAGAAATAAAAAAATAAAATAAATTAAACCCATTTAAATATTTCAAATTTTAGGAAAAACTTACCTGAAAAGAAGGAGAAACATGAGACCCATTTGGTGAATTTGATGATGAATCAATTTTTACAGAGAAATTTCGTTTATCATTCAACATGGGTTGATATGAACGAAGATTTGGTTTGAAAAAAATTGAACTTTTGGAATCGGATTGAGGAAGAAAAATTGAAGTACGAACTGCAGTAGCAGGGGAGGAGAGAGAGTAGAATCTGGTGATAGAAGAAGAAATCACGGTGTTAGAAATTTTTGATGTTAATAATAAGTTATGCATCTTAATTAATTTTGTTTGGAGCAATTATATGAATGTTATACTAATGTTGCGTTACATGGGTTCATAGATTTTTTTTTTACAACACAGTTCATAGAATTTGGATTTTGGATAGTTGCGTTACGTGTTGTAATTTCTAGGCTAGATAGACTTGTATTGTATGATTTGTATCATTATCCAACGTGGATGTGTCAATTTTTTTAATTTTTGGCACATGTTATGACTTTATTTATGTTTCCATTTGTAGTTAGCATATTTAGCATTATACTCCCTTTGTTTATTTTACGAAAACTGTCGTAGTCAATAGTTCATGCGGGGTGTAGCGGCAGTGGCACTCCATCCTCCCACCACATGTAAAATCAAACACAATGAACCACAATCCAGATCTACATCCCCAAAATAAAAACAAATCACAAAATAAAACAAATAAATAACCCTAAATCGAATAAAGCAAAAAAAAACTTACAATTGGAGGTGCTAATGGCGCGGCATCAGCTTTTGGTAGAGGTGGTGGTGGTTGCGCGGCGTCGGCTTGAGTCGAGGAAAGACAAGAGGTTTGTGGGTTGGTGGGTTTGGTGGTTGCATGGTTGGACTCACTGCCTCACGAGTCGGCTCAGTTACACATTGGACGACGGCGGCAGATCGGACTTTCGAAAGGTTCTAGAAAGACGAGAAGGTCTAGAAAGAAAGGGTGTTTTGTTAAGGTTGTAGTGAGTTGACCCGGTGAATGAGATCGGGTTATGGTTGAGTTGGAGGGCGGAAGTGTTCATTTTTGGGAGAGGAGGAGAGAGAAACAAGGAAAGTGGGCTGCCATTTTTTGGGGGAGGAGGAGAGAGGCTGCCTTGGGGAGTGAAGGGTTTTAGAAAGGAATCAGGTACTTGTAATTGGGTTTATATTGTGTGACGTGAAAATGTTCATATTAGCCAACAAATGATGTATATCAGCCATTAGAATGAACATATTAGCTAATTGATATCTAATATCAGTCAACATTAGGGATATATCAGACATTAATCAAAACGTATCAGTCAACACAAGGAACATATCAGCCAACAAATGAAACATATCAGCCAACAAATGGAACATATCATCTAACAAAAGGTACATATCATCCAATAAAAAGAATATATCAGCCAACAAATGAAGCATATCAGCTAACAAACGGATGAAATCAACAAACAAAAGTAATAGGTAAGCCAACAAAATAAACACATCAGCTAATAAAATGAAACATATAAGCCAACAATTAAAATAAAGATATCAACCAACTAAAGAAATATATCAGCCAACAAAAGGAACATATAAAAAATTAAAAAAAAAAACATATCAGCCAACAAAAGGAATATATTAGCTAACATAAAAACCATATCAGCCAACAAATGAAACATATCAGCCAACAAGTAAAATATATCAGCCAACCTGCCGCATGCATAATTTACGTGCTGCAGTCCGCACCCAATACTTACTCTTTATTTTAAGTGTTCTATTGGGATGTGCGCGAAGTTATAGGTAAAAGAGTACACCTTACGTTTTGTAATAATTGCAACACTTTGACTTTTGCACTATTCATATGTTTATTTTGACTCTTTTTTTTTTTTTTTTTTTTAATCATATATTGCCATGGAATTTATTTTTAGATTAGTCGTCTTTATGTATATTTTTATTAGATCAAGCTTTTGTACTTCTTAGTAATATATACGTAATTTCAAATATTAATGGTCAAAGTTGTGCATCGGCATATGTGCCGGTCAAAGTGTTGTGATTATTATGAAATAGGGGGAGTAAAATAATAAATAAATGGGTATAATTAGTAATAAAAACTTCGAAAAAGTAAGATAAAGATATAAATGGGAGACCACTAGGTATAATGTGAGAGGGAGAAATATTATAAAATGATGGTGGGGTTAAAAAGAAGAGAGAGAAATGAAAGGAATGGTGTCCTTCGAACAAGTGTCTTATTCCGATAGAGGGTTTGGAATTAATTAGGAAAGCTAATTATTTAGTGAGGTCAAGTGATCGGAATGCCTAGCTGAAGGCCGCTTCCGATCAGTAATATTAATGTATAATTAATATTACAACTTGTTCTTGACTAAACCCTTCGGGTCACACCCAATCGTGTAACCGAACCGAAGCGACGAATTGATCATAAGGATTAAATGAGTCGATAGAGATTTTACGAACTAAGACGTCGGATTCCGAGCTTAGAGCATCGAAGCCGAGCGTCAAGCGTCGAGTCGATTTTAGGAATCGACAAAGACGAGAAAATAATCAAATGACGTATCGTGCTAAAATTACAAGCATAGCACGAGCCCTAACCATGCCTCGGATCGAAGGCAAATGACTAGGGGCCGCAAGCACCAAACCACCAAGCCACCGCAACCATCGCAAGGCCCAGCTAGGCTGACCTTGCTTGCGGGCTAGATGGGGCAGCCTAGTGGCTTGCGCACCAAGGCAGCCCTAGCCGGGCCTGCCTAGCTAGGCCAGTAGCAAGGCTGGCGCTTGCGGTGCTGCTGCTAAGGCTCGGCTGCTACTGCTGGGCTTGCGGCAAGTGGCCAGCAGGCCTAGCCTTATTGCGCAAGGCTGGCAGCATGGCTGACCTTGATGCCCAAGGCAGGGCAGCTGCCCTTGTTGACCGAGTAGGTTTGGGGCAGCCCCTTGCCTTGTTCTCCAAGGCCAAGGTGGTCTTCCAACCTACTCCCTTTCTTGTGTGATGACACTTGTCATTTGATTATTGTTCATGTTTTTAATTTAATTTAGAATTAAATTAATTCATTTTTTTTTGGCATTTTACCAACTATCCCACATTGAAAGATGATGGGAAATCTTGGGAACATTTCCCTATAAATACCAATCATTGGGTATTGGGAATTTCACTTAAGTTGGTGAACTCTAAGGGGTCTCCGTAAGCGAGAAAGCCTTAGTTCGTAAACTCTAAGTTATTTTTGGTCTAGCCCCGTCTAAGCTACGGGGTACAGACTAGTTTCGGTTCGGTAAGCGAGGGTGTGAGCCCTGAGAGGTTTCGCACTTGCGGAGCTTGAAGCTTTCCAAGTTCGAGCTCGTTGAGTGAGCGAAGCACGCGTCTAGGGTGAGCTTCTTTCTCTCTCTTCTATCTCTTTATGTGTCTGTGTTTTTGTTTATTTGCATGGTTTTGGTTATGTTGTAATTATTATGCATCCGATCCGGTTTTCGGGTTTTGTTTTCGCGCGGTGTCGGACACCGCAAAACCCAACAGCGGTATAAGAGCCTCTTGCATTTGATTTTTACAACTAAAAATTAGTTAAGGTGATTTAAATGGATTTAAATTTCTGGTTTAGCATCCTAATTAGATTAGGACATCATTTTTAATTAGATTAAAAATCGTATTTATGCTATTTTTGGCCTACGAACCCCGATTTCGACTCAAAAATAGTGAATTTTGGGTGAAATCAACATTCTTAATCATTCTTAATCCACATAGTGTTTGAAAATGACCTTCTTGAAGCCAAAATCCACCCAAAAAGTGGTTTTTTGAGGGGTTTTTCGTTTGGAACGAAATTTTTTAAATCTTTAAACATTGATTAATTATTTCATGCAATTGTTAGATTATGTGTTTGATTATACCATCTTTTAAATTTTTATACCTTATTGAGCATATTTATGAAGTCATATTGGTGTTTAATTTGGTGAGCTCTTAATTTCACATAAACTTGAAATTTCACATTTTTGCAAATTAATTGCTTGGAGTGTGAATGTTTATGGTGAATAAGAATTTTTGAAGCCCCAAAATGTTAAAGATTTAATCTTTAATTGTTTAATTGGTTGGATCTTGACTTGCTAAAATCTATAATGAACTAATTTTTGGTTTTAATCATTTTGGAAGTTGATTAAAAATCTTAAATGTTCATACTTCTGCTTGAAATATTATTGTTCTTCATATTAGAAGATTACAATATTCAAATATGCATAAGTAAGTGTTCGATAAATTATTTCATTGGACGATTGATTATTTATTCAACTATTTTTGTCAAATCTCATTATTAATTTATGTTGGTTAAATAAATTGTGAGAATAGCCCTCAGTTTTTGTAGCATCAAGTTGAGCCAAAAATAATTTAAAGAATGTTTCTTGAATTAATTTTGGTTTGTGCACTAAAATTGAATTTATTTAAGTTGGACTTGTTTTATTTTCAATATTGCTCAATATTAGTTTTGAAATCAATTTAGAATTAATTTGAAAGTCACACACAAAAAATTCGGAATGGAATTCTGAGGAATGAGCATGTGAAACGAGGCCCCATGCCTCAAGCACCACCCTCGGCTAGCAAGACTGCTCTCACAGCACGCATGTTGCTGCCGAGGGAGTGCGGGCGTGCAGATGCGTGTGGCTGCGAGCGTGAGTGTGTACGGGGAGGGGTAGCAGACTGGGCGGGTGACTATGCGCCATGCAGCCAGCAGCGGACGCTGCTAGGACGCCCATAGGAGCACCTAGCAAGTGCTGCTGGGCTAGGGTGCGAGCACTTGCACCATGCCGCAAGGCCCGGAGCTGCTTGGCAGCTGCTGTGGCTAGCAGTGGCGCGCGTCAAGGCTGCCTTGGTGCGCAAGCCACGTGTGTGCGGCAGGCCTTGCGCACCATGCTTAGTGTCTAGCCAATCCCCTAGGCCTTTTGGCTCGGGGCTAGGTACTTGGCATCGGTTTTGCAATTTTTTGTTTTTTAATTAAAACGAGGCTAGGCAACTAAATACAGATTGATATTCTAATGCAGGTTTTAGAAAATGGCATGGATGAATGGATGAATGGATGAATGGAATTGATATTCTAATGCAGGTTTTAGAAAATGGCAACTAGTGGGGCCCGACTAGGATAGTAAATATGGACTGCGTTTCGTTTTGTATTTTTGTAAATCTAAATACAGATTGCGTGCTGTTAAGTATTTTTTTAGGTAAAAAATTATTTAGATTAGTCCTAGCTTTTCTAGTAGTTGCATAATTGGTGGTGATGTCTCAAAAACGACGTTTCTAAGAAGACGAAGCTAAGAAGATGCAATGAAGGCCCTTGAAGATTTGAAGATTCAAGTTTCAAGGGGTCATGCTAGTTGCCAAATGCATCTTTATTTATGCCTTATATATTTTGCTTATATATAATTGCGATATTAGATGCATGTTTAGGATTTCGAATGTTGAATGATTAGTTTAGTTCACTTAAAAATCAACCAACATAGAAACCCTAAGTCCCTATAAAATTGAGTTAAAATTTTCCATTCCAAAATGACACTTACCGAACTTATGTGAATAGTAATGGACTATGCCAAAGTAAGGCATTACTACTTTCCTAGGGACGTAAGGTATACTAGGTATACGCGTTAGTTTTGGTTAAACTTAACAATATCAGTAAGGAGTACTTAGACGTCGTGGCAATGGAGATAAACGTCAAGAAAGCATTAGATGCGACGTTTTATCGAACCAAGAATAGCTTAGAGTTAGCAATTCGATTGCTTACCTTAAAATATTAAGTGCTAAGACAAGACAAAACATGCTTAATCACTGTTTGATTTTTGGGGTCTTGGAATCGTTTTATTCTCGCCTAAAAGGGACAATTTTAAATGTGTGGATAAAACGCTTAATAAGATTGAAAGTTTGCATGTGTTCTTTAAATTTCTTTCTTATTGGTTTTATGAATGATTTTTCATTGCAAATTCTTTCGTTTGTAGAAAAATGTCTGCAATTAACACCAACAACAACCAATTTTCGTTACACTCAATTCTCCATGGAGAAATTGAGTGGGCTAAATTTCCTTGATTGGCAAAGGAACTTGCGTATAGTTCTCATGCAAGAGAAAAAGGAATACATCCTTGATGAGGAAATGCCCGACGCTCCTAATGAGGAGGTC